GACTACATGTTTCGCCGTAACAACGTCATCCTCAGGATAAAGGCCATAGATAGGCCTAAATAAAATGTTTTTAATTGTGTACTAGTTTAACGTTGAATATTATTTATTTTATTTTTTTTTAATTTCATTGTATATGAATAAACTTGGTATCAAAAATAGTTAATAAATCAAATTTTAGTATTATATAATATTAAAGCTCTTGATTTTATAAGGACATATTTTTAAAAAAGACCTCAATCACTCCCAGTATTAGAATTGTGACATTTGTTCTCTAGGGCTTCCCACTTTTCTAATATATTTTCCAACCTCTCTGAGAAGTATAGAATTCAATGTAAATTACTAATTATAATAAAGGTATTACTCAGACAAAGTCATATTTTTATATCCTTTAATCTTACTTGTTTACAGATCCATAAACTAGAAAATCAGACTCACTTGCCACATCCTACTTTTCATAAGTTGCCAGTTATTCTAACTCTGAAGATTTATACCATATTATGTATAACCAATAGAAAGTCAAAGTTTTAATTTCTCAAATGAAATATTATGTTATGTTGCTTACTGTACAGGTCATTGTCTATTTCTTTGTTCAGTTTGATAGTTTTTCTTAATGGGAATCAAATTGACAAGTTTATCTGAATTTTTAAAGACTTGTATTGCATAGTTAGAAAGCCAGTTAAATTATGGTAGTTTAGGACATTGTTTGCTTTGTGTATGTTATTCTGTGTTCTTAGATGCATTATTTAAGTAATTAAAAATTATTTAGTGTATTAGTACCATTAGTATAAAAAAGTTGGCTTAAATTTCATCAGCAACCAACAGCCAAAATAAAAAGTACCAATTATATTTCTCGTTTTTCATGTATATTCTTTATTTATTATTATAAAATTAACTAAAATGTAAAAATTAGAAACTTATTAGGTAAGACAATGAAAAAAGAAAAATATTCACAAGGTATGCTCTCAAGCAGCTTGTGTATTACATAATTCAATATGGTAATGTGAGTTACATGTTTATCGAGTAATTTACATATTGTGTGGCAGGATTATTAGTTAGACTTGCAATGTTTACTGAAAGCTTATAAAATTTCGTGAAGATACATGAAACTTAAAAAGTTATAGTATGGAAACTACGATGGTCACTTTGATGTCATAAACTTGATTGAATCAACCAAGCCCATAAATAATAACTAAAGAACATTAATTAACTTTATTTATATCATTCTAGGAACAATTCACAGAATTAGATACTGTGAAAAAAATTAGGATTATAGTACTTAATTGACCTTTACTTATAATCTATTAAGTTTTTATAATGAAAAGCAGTACAACAATAATTTGCAGAATTTAACACATTTATATTTTGCAATGTTTCAGAATCTAAGAAGACACAAAATGTAGAACACTTGGATCAAAACCTATTTTCTATTCTGGAACTCTTGGTGAAAGAATTAGTAGAGGTCCACCATAATAAGACCACTAATTTTATTCAGCAGTTCCTTATCCAGATTTTGTCTCTGGATTACAATCTTGACTTTGTGTACAAGTTGAAAAAGAACCACAAATTACAATGGATTGTACCAGTTATGCTTCAGCAGGAGGAAGATTCAAGACCTGATTATTTTGTTGTTCTTGGAGATGAATATGTACATTTGCGAAAAACAATGTCAGAAGCTCTTATTAAAAAGGACTTTAATGGTGTTAAGGACTTACTTCAGGTATAACACAAATCAGTTTGTAATCTGTCAAAATTAAATATATTTCCACTGAATTAAATAATCAGTAGCTTTGTTGTAAACGCTACATCTGATCTATACATCATTGAAAGCATTTACATTCATAGAATTATAAGAAAAAAGTTAATTCTAATACAATATCTTACTTTTTCACATAAAAAGTTTTCTCTACTTATACTGCCCACTATTGGTGCAAATTTTTGCTTGGCATTTCCCTTGACACACCCATTTATCTCTGCATAATAACATACAAATGGTTATGCAACAATCCTCCACCAATAGGAGTGCAACATTACCCCATTCCACATTCCGTAAATACCACATTCTCTTATCTTGCAGCCATACTGCTCCCTTCCATTGTTCCCAAGTCAATTTGTTTCTTCCATGAAATACTCAATTCTCCCATGACTTTTTTCTCATTACCCTTCAGGGTTGAATTTGCCAGTTAATTCGCTTGGCATTTTTCTCCATTTCTCCAGGTTTTCTTCCATTCAGATCCATCACTGCACCACATTACTGGCTGCACATTTCCATCTGTCCATGGGAGACATCATCAGTACTTTAACTGTTTTTCTGTCGGTGGTAATATTCTGTTCATTTTCTTTTCTTTGCAGGGGCCTTTATTGCATATTTGGATCCTACTCTGTAGCGAATGTTGCCTGACCAGGTATACTTAGTCTTAAATCCACACTGTACGACCTGTGATTATATACCATTGCTAGATGACTGTAATGTTGAGGCTCTTCCTACTGTGGATCTGATGTACACTTCCAGATGCTGCCAGGTGTTGGTTAATCTTCTCTGTCAATGTGTTCTCTATGCTTTCAAAATACAATGTCATGACAATATCCAGGTCATATTACAACCATCATTGAGATGGGGTGTTCTGCAGAACCGCTCAGTGGTATACATACCAAATGGTCTTTTGCTTCATAAATAGGTTCATTCTGGACTGTACACTCATGGACTAACATGAGTAAAGCAGACAGGGATTACTGCCCATCTGTGATATGTGGCATTTGAGGCTGTTCCTACAGAAGACATGATGCATAATTCCTGTGCTGCAGTCCTCCGGACTCTCCAATACATTTTCCCTCTTTCTCCTAGTAGAGTATGGGAGTCCTTGCTACTTACAAGTTCCTAGTCACTGGGATGGTGGACCATGGAGGCCTGTCCTCCTGAGTGTGCACAGTACCATTCAGTTGAGAATAGAGTATTGGAATTCTGCCGGTGTAGATGGTGTGATGCCCTTCCTACCTTGGACTTTATGTACAATTCCAGATACTGCGTGGTGATGGATGTAGCACTTCCCCATATATTGGAGTTTGTCTCTCTGGCTGAGGCACCCTCCTTTCTATTGTTTGCCAGATGTCATTTCCATGGGTTCAGATGTTGGTCGGAGCTGGATCAGTAACATAACTTCTCACATGTGTTTAGATGGTTACCCTCCTACTGTTGCAGACTGGATGATAAATTCCCAATACTGCTGGACTGGAGATGCATCCCATATAGTAGTCCCTCTTCCTACCATCCACTGGATGTTGGTTCCCGGTGGATCTGGTGTTGGTTGTAGCTTGATGAGACACATGAACTCCCACAGTATAAGGTTGGTTACCCTCCTCCTACCACAGATTGGATAAAGAATTCTCAATGCTGCCAGGTTTTAAACTGGGGATGTACACTTACCTGGGCCCTCCAACTTCCTACCATCTGGCTGATGCCGGTTCTTGGTGGTTGTGTTGAAGGTGCGTTCCTGTGGAGGTGGGTTCTTAGTACAAAGCTCTTCTTCTCTGCTGGTGAAAGGTAGAGGACCCTCTTCCTACTGCGAAACTGATGTACAATTTCAGATGCTGTCAGTTGTTGGTTTAGGTCAAACTCCCCTTTACAGTCTGTCATGCCCTAGCCACTCTACTCCAGGAGACTCTCATTTTTTGTGTTATTTTTATTTGGGTCTCTTCTTTGTGTACACCCTTTTAGTGTCACATTACTAATGTGTAAAGAGTTAATCTCGCTCAAAAGTGATGCAGTCACCCATGGGTGTGTTGTTTTTAGTTCCATCTCACACCCCATGGTTTTTCTTTAGGTGCTTCCTCAAGTGGAGCATTTTCTCACTGGCCCCCCACCTGTTCAATGTGGGATGCTAGCTATTTGTGAGAGGAGGTAAGATACCGTGTCAGAAGTTAACATTTTCTTAAATTGAAAATGTATTTCTGACCAATCCTCCCCACTTTGCTTTGGTGTGATCTGACCAATCTAAAAATGGTTAACAGCTGCAAGATTAGAGAGGGCATTAGTTACAATAAGCGTAGTGCCACACTCTTATCAGTGGAGGATTGCTACATAATCATTTGCAGGTTAGTATGCAGAGATAAGTGGGAGTATCAAGGCTAGCGGTGAGTGAGAATTTGCACGGATACAGGGCAGTAGAAGTTGAGAAAGCTTTTTCGTGAGAGGAGGTATCTATCGGAAATTCTTGTTTTTGCCAAAAATATGATATAATTTGTATTATGCCATTCTTTTTATACTTGTAGTATAATAACAAGTTATATTGTAATAAAATTAATAACCCTTTTACTGATACACTAGAAAACTTAAATTTAAAACCTAAGGTTTAAACAAATTCATTAAAAACAATGGTTCAAATCCTTCCATATGTTTTAACACAGCCTAGTATATTTCTACAAACAATAACATTATTTTTAGAATTGAGTTGCTTATTATCAGTTTTATGTAGGGTTTACAAAAAACAAACTTTAGAGTTTTTTGATAAGATACACCATGTTTGAATAAAATAGTTTTTTTTTTAGAGTGGTGCATACAGTAATGAACAAGGAAAGGTTATTGTCTTTGCTGCTCTGCTAACTGAAGTCACTTCACAAAAAAGCCTGGATCTTGAATTTAATGAAGCATTAAAAAGTATCCTAAACACCTTAGAATGGCCTCAGCACTTGAAAAATATGGCAGAATTACTTAGCCATCCAGAAATGGTTCAACTAAACCCTTACATGCAACAAGGAGAAGACAGAATTTTGTCAACCTTAGTATATCATTGGATCTTTATTCTGTTATGCAAGTCACATTTGAACAATCTCTTGAGACCATTTACACATATGACAAGTTCTCCAGCTATGACAGCTGTAAGTAATTTTTGTCTTTTCACAATTCATAACGTAAACTATGTCCCTTAAATATAAGTTAGATAAAGATTCAGTCTGTCTTTTTGTGAACTAGTTTTTAAGCAGCACAACAATAAATTCAACTCAAATGTTATCATCAAATTTGCTAATGAATCTTTTCATCTGAAGTATTTTATGCTTCTTTGATTGTAGTTTACACAAAATTAGTGTATATGTATATAAACACACATAGAAGGAAAGCTGTTTATACTGTTTATGGATACTTATGACTGGTAATTTGAAACTTAACTTTTAATTTATTCATATTTCACATAGTTTATATATACTGTAGGTTTTTAAATAATTTATTAGTGATGAGTGATACAAATTTCTCTGTGGTCTTCATTTTATTTACCATGTTGAATTAAACATAAAACTGAAAGCTCTCTAGTGATGCATTTTTGGTAGTTCATCGTCTAACTGATATTTTTAACATGAAGAATAAATTTTAACATGCAAATGTTTGTTTTTCAACTTTCATAGCAGTTATTTATTGTTTTCAAAATTTTTTTTATTGAAGAAGCTCTCTGTAGAATGTATTTTATCCGTGAAAAAATATACCGGTATTATAAATTGTAAATATGCAATAATTTATTACAGCCTTTTAGTGTCTCACAGATAAATTCATGTTTTCACCAGTACAAAAGTAAATTTCCACCAATTACCAAATGTATGTATAATTTTAATAATTATTTTTTTCTATGTTACTGAGTAGCATATGTAGTAATATAATGCACACATTAGAGTAGCATGTTAGATAAAAGTGGATTTCATTTATATAAAGTTTTCTAAAATTTACTTATCACTTAAAAAATATTAAGCAAATATTTTTTTCTCACAAAACATTAAAGAGACCCTTTAACATAGGTGGAAATTTTCACTCAGCTTGCATGTAAATATGACATGCAACTTAAATGTTTCTAGTATTCTAACTTGTAAGTATATGCCTCTCTATATGGCATTCAAGATGTTCCATGTTTCTTTCTCAACTCTGATATTTTATCAACTACAGATGCTACGAATCCTTTTTGAAGCAGTTATAGAATAATGTAATTAATAGTTATTTTCAATTATACAAGTAATGCTGAAAAGTTATTTCTCTCGTTGTTTTGACTTAATTTTACCACAGTTTGCTCATATATATATTTCCAACTCAGTAGCACACATTCAAACTAGTTGGCTAAGGAAAACAAAAGTAATAACTAAACTGTCACCCCCTCCACAGTGGATCAGCGATATAATTACTTCATGCTTGAATTTCACATTTCACACCTATTCAAATCTATTTGATAATTTCTCTTGAAATAAGCTATTATATAATACTGTTACAACAGCGGAAGTTACGTGTTGTTGGTAACACGTCACAAGTTTCTAGAGGGATCATGACTTTTCCTGGCAACTCTAGTCTTTTCTAGGTGCCCTCAATTTTAGCATATAAGCCCAGGAAATAAAGCGGAGACATAATTGCAGATAGATAGATATAGAGACAGATAATTGAGTCAAGTGAGCGGTAGTGACGGTAATATAAAGTGTGTGTTTTGTTATCGAGATTGCAAACGTATTGACTGTGGAAATTCTGTGCATTATAAAGTTGTATCGAGAAATAATAAACTAGTTTTAGTTAAGAATGGACTTGTATCGCTTAAGTTTTTCGGAAAGAATTTCTACTGGAAATTAACAAACGAACAGAGACGTAACAAATTGGTGTCAGAGAGTGGGACGAGAAAAAAAAAAGATGAAAATGGAAACGAGAGGTGGCAAATCAAACTACAGCTCAGCAGATTTGATGGCAGCAATACAAGAACAGCAAAAGAAGCAAGAAGAGAGATTACAGCAGTGGCAAGAAAACCTGCAACAGTGGCAGCTCAAACAGCGAAATAAACAAGAGAGATTACAGCAGTTGTTGGAGGAAAAAGAAGAGAAACACGAAGAGAAATTACAGCAGTGGCAAGAAAACCTGCAACAGTGGCAGCTTGAACAGCAAAATAAACAAGAGAGATTACAGCAGTTGTTGGAGGAAAAAGAAAATAAACAAGAAGAGAGATTACAACAGCTGTTGGAGGAAAAAGAAAAGAAACAAAAAGAATGAGAAAAGAAACAAGAAGAGAGACTACAGCAATAGTTGGAGGAGAAAGAAGATGAACAAGAAGAGAGACTACAACAGTGGCAACTAGAACAAGAAAGGAAACAAGAAGTAGAAATGGAAAAGCTTAGTAAATTTCAAAGTGAATTAAATACATTAAAGG